TTTCTGCAGTACCTATCCCAGCTACCTGCTCAGGAAGACAACCACGTTAGCCAAGCCAGAACCTCTCCTGACCTGCTTTTGCCACCCAGCACAGCTCTGTCTGTCCCTGATTCAGGAAGGATCAGTGGATCCAGGAATCAGTGGATCCAAGAAGCATCACATCAGTGGCTGGGGTTGAGTCACAATTAGTATTCTAAGGAACCCAGAAAAACTTCCATGATATCTAGTTTACCTGCTCGCAGACCAGTGCTTTAGGCTCACCCAAGAGTGGGGCTGACTGACCAGAGTCCCTGACCACTGAGTATTAGCTTTGTGGACCCCTTAGATTCTCCTTGCCCCTCAAAATATTGAATTTACAAGATTAGGGTCTGTGGTATTTCATGGGACAAGAGTCCCTTTTTTGGGTACACTCTTAGCTGAGTCATGCCCATAATAGGTAACACTGTGGCTCAGCAGGAGAGACTGTTTCTGGTGGCTGAGCCTCTTCCAGCTCTTCACCCCTCTTCCTCTAATGAAAGCTGCCCACAGGTACTTTGTCTTACTTCCTCTCTGCATCCTTAGCTCATAGCCCAGGCCTAGCACAAAGCAAGTGTGTGATGTGCCTCTGCAAATGAAAAAGTGCCTCATACTGTCCTAGCTTTTTTGCACATCTGTTATCAAATCTCTGTGGGTGTTGCCATTAGGCTGGTCTGGGCCCTCTGGGGCCTATCGTGGCCCCAAAAGAGTAGTACCCCGTAGAGTTGTAGCTGAGTTCAGGTACTTATGGCCAATAGACATGGGCCTGACCCCCAGATTGTGATGAGCTGGCTGAGGACACGTGCAAAATCCCCAGGTGGGAAGTGCTGTTCCAACAGGAATGGCATTTGTCTTCCACAGGATGGAAGAGGAGGACAGAAGGGCTCCTTGGAGGCCAAGCACATGGGTGAACTGCAGAAAGAGGTACATATTCTAAGTTCCTTTTCTCTCCCTTGCACTTTAGGCAAGAAGGCTAAGTGTCTGCTGTGTGCCTGACCCTTTGTGCACCTCCAGCAGGAGCAAGGAAAATAGTTCCCCCCTTAGAGAACTTAAATCTACTTGGAAACCAAGAAGAATCCAGTCCCAACTCACCATCTCAAATGCTTAGGGTGTGAGTAGGGAAAGCAGAATGCTCCTGGCCCAGTCCTCCAGGTTCCTACTTAGGAAGGGGAAGGAAAAGGAAGAAGGTTGAGGAGCCTACACAACTCTAAAAGGACAGACTAAAGCAAGCAGAAGTGCCCAACCTCCTCTGCCCTCACAGGCACCCTGCAGGCAGGACCGCTGCCAGCACCCCTGGCACCACTGCCAGGTTCCATCCATCCCTCAGAGCTCAGGTCAGGCTGTCACATTCATGGAAACCATATAAAGTAACTGCCTGCCTCTTAGGACTCACCTAAAACATCACCCTGTATTTTGAGACTGAGGATTAATAAGAACTGTGGAATTCGATTTCTGGGTCTGTTTCAGAAATCAGTTGTCATACTGGCAGGACATGACTATACAGTTTGACCTAAGCTATTATTTTGAATTCTGTTCAACTCAAAGTAAGCATCCTCTGAGACAGGGCTCAGACTAGGGTCAGGCAAGAGAGACCCACTCTTGCTTTGCTCTAGTCCCAGGCCTACCCTGAGATCTGGATAACTTCACCTCCTAGTAGTCTCAGTATATTCCTCTGAGAAATGGAAAGGTTAAGCAGTGATTGTCAACCCTGGCTAGACATTCTTACCTCCTGGGGAACTTTGAATAAAATACTGATGCCAGGCCTCACCCCAGAATTCATCAGAATTCATCAGAATACTTTCTAAAAGCTTCCAAAGGGGCACAATGGAACTCTGTCCAATGACTAAAATACTGTGCATCTCGAGCCACACTGTGGCTATACATGGCTGTATATATTATCAAACTCGTCAAATTTTGTGCTTATGATCTAGCATATTATTACAAGTTGGTGAATAGTTTTTTTTTGTTGTTGTTGTTTTAAAGATTTATTTATTTATTTATATAAGCACTGGGTACAGTTAGAAGCACAGGAGGGTAAGAGAATTCACCAGAGCCAGAGCAGGGAGCAGAACAGGCAGACTGACAAAGTTCACTGCTGAGGGGAGCAGCAGGCACAGAAGAGGTCTGTGCGCCATGTGGAACCCAGTGCTCAACCGTTGCGCCAACGGGGAGGCCATTTGTTTTTTATTTTTAAGCTCCCTGTGTGAGTCTCCTGTGCAACAGGGTTGACAATCACTGAATGACTCCGAAGGGCCCTTCCCAAACACTGTAAACCTGATCCTGAGATTGACTCAAATGCTGGTCTGACAAGAGCCACAGCAGAGCAAGAAGAGTGGGGCTACTTCAAGGCCTTCAACTGTTTTCTCCTCTTGTTTTCCCACCCATCAGGTGGCCCTGCTGCGAGCCCAGCTGGCCTTGGAGCGGAAGCAGAAGCAGGACTACATAGCTCGTTCGGTACAGACCAGCCGCGAACTAGCAGGCCTGCACCACAGTCTCTCCCACTCACTTCTTGCTGTGGCCCAGACCCCTGAGGCCACTGTCCTGGAGGCTGAGACCCGGAAACTGGATGAGTCCCTGACTCAAAGTCTGACATCCCCAGGGCCAATCCTGCTGTGCCCCAGCCCCAACCCAGCCCAGGCCACCTCCAGGTAGCAGCCACAACCAGGATACAGGCCAGCCTGGGAGCAGACAGAAAACTGTACAGTGGGTCATAGCCCCTCTATAAACCTGCAGGTTTGCAAAAGGAAAAGGTTTAGTTCTGTCTCCCAATCTGGGCAGCCATGGTCAACTTGCATTCCCAGGAAGAAGGAAGGAAACCTGCAAGGCTGAATAATGGCCCCCAGTCATATGGGAACAAGGCAACTACACTTGCCTGCTATCCTGAAGAGCCAACCAGAGGCGCACCTTGCCCTGGCCCAGGGGCATATACTACCTGTTGTCTAGAATTTATCATCTCAGTTTTTCACTCTCTTTCTCCTTCCCCTTCAGAAATAAACCCTGAGTCTTTGTATTCATTCTCTGCTGCTGCCTCCACTTGTGTAGCTGGGCACATCATGGGCATCTACTAAGGAAGAATTTTCTAAAGATTCCTGTCAGGTGGCATGCATTTATCTGCCTGAAATCTGGTAGAGAAGGGTCATAGAAGACCCAAGACAAAGCCCTTGTTCAAGGGAGCTTGAGCCCAATTGACAAGAACAAACACTCATTGATAAGTCTGTGCTGACTAGAAGAGCCACAGATTCCAGGGACTGAGCAAGGAAGGCATGAGCTGGCCTTGAAGTGTAGAGAGCTGCTGGGAGGGGTTGCTAAGCATACTGGTGAAACTGGTCTCCCTGTGGCAAAGTATGCTGGAGCCAAGGTTGGATGGGAAGGGAGGTTTGAACTCAGGGATAATGAGGAACGATTACATGTTCTTGACTTAAAACATGTTCTGGGACTTAAGAAACAGAAATGACCTTTGGCTAGTCAGCCTCTAGAGTTCAATAGCTGTCTGGCCTCATTTCCCTTCTGCTCAGGGTGAATGCCCTTGAGTGTCCCTCTTGGGCGTATCAGCTGGATACATGTACTAGCTGGTCCCCTATAATCTAACTTATGTGTCAAGCCAGTAAAGAGAATGGACTGTAGCAAAACTTGTCACCTATGGACTGGCCCTGGTGCAGGCAATCAACTGAGCCCACTTCACAGTTTCTTACACCTGTTATTGGCAACCTCCTCAAAGCCTAAGAAAAACAGTTCTTTAAAGCAGGGCATGACCTTTCTCTGGCCCTCCAACCATAATCTGGAATTTCCTCTTCCCTAAGCCTAGGAATGGAGCTCAGAATGTGGCGGTTTGAGAGCAGCACCCTGCTCACCCCAACCTACTTTCTCCGGGCTCAGGCCCCTGGTTTCCCACTGCACTACCCAGCATATGTAGAAAGGGGGCTGTTCACAACTGCTTCATGCTGGAACTTTGTTCCAAAACTCAGGCTGCAGCAGATGCTTAGTAAAATGTTAAATTTTTTTGGTAAACATTTTCAACAGGCAGAATCTGACTAGCTGGTCCTTGCTTCCAGTCAGATTCCCTGGGGCGCAACAGCCTCACCTGGCCTTCTCTGTGCAAGGAGTTCTAAGGAACAGATTTAAAGACTTTTGGTTCCTTACTTTTTTTGGCCTTCCAACTTTGGTTCTCTAGCTTAGAGGCTGACAGAGGGACCCTGGTTTGTTCCTTGGAGTTTCTTCTCAGTACCATTATCTATAAATCATGAGCCAAGGCCATAAGCCCTATGTACTCTGGGATAGAGGAGGTGAATTTCCTGTAAATAAGTGTTTTAGAGGCTGCCAAATAAGGTCTTCAGGAATCAACTACTCTCTATTTGCTCTTTCCTCCCCATTCAAACCTCAAGAGCTCCCATCCCACTCTAGACCTTAGACTAGGCTCTCCCTCCCCCACTAGATATTCAAGTCAGGCTTGACTTCACATCAAGTGTAAACAGATCTTCCTCTCACACTAGGTTGTGGGTAATTTTCTGTTCCAACTTTCTAAAGTATAATATCCTTCACCAATAATAAGATCATCTGTATGGCAGGTTCTACCTGTGATGGTGCCACTTGTTCTCATCCACTTCTAACTGGCACGGGGAAGCATGAAGGAAAGAGTATAGATTCTGGGGCCTCCCCGGTGGCGCAGCGGTTGAGCGCTGGGTTGCGAAGCTGCGCGCGGCCTCTGCAGCGCCGGTTCGATCCCCGGCTGCTCCCCGGCCACCGGAGGAGGGTCCCACATGGCGCGCAGACCTCTCCTGCCGCCCGCTGCTCCCCTCAGCAGTGTACTTCGGTCCTTCTGCCTGCTCTGCTCCCCGCTCTGGTGAATTCTCTCGCCCTCCCGCGCTTCTGACTGTACCCAGTGCATGTATAAACAAAACAAGCAAAGAAACCAGCAAACAAATAAATAAAGCATGCCTCTATAAAAAAAAAAAAAAAAAAAGAGTATAGATTCTCCCAGCGGGACCCAACCTTGCAAAGGGCATCAGGGCAGAGCTTCCTTTATTTCATGTTAACATGCAGCAGGGCATAACCAGAGCAGTGAATCCAGAGGGCAGGAAATGCCCCTGACCATCCTGCCAGTTCTCTAGGATATACTTCACAGCGTGATTGATAACCAGATCTGGGAGGGAAGAAAGGTGGTCAGAGCTGAGTGCCAAGGTCTCCTTTCATGAAACTTTACCCCTCCTGCAACCTTCTTTTTCCTTGTCTGCTGATACAGTCAAGACGTCCTGAGAGCAGAAAGGGGCAAGAGGGGCCTGGTTCTGGTGGGTACAGCACCCTGTTCTCTCAACAAGTCTCTGTCCTTAGCAAGTTAAAGCAGCAATCACCACACCACAACCTAATACCTTTGCTCATCTGCTTCCCCACGTGGGGTAGAAAGCAGTAACTTGAAGGCAGAAAGGCTGCCATTTCCGTGACCGAGAGCAGCCATCAAAAGAGACAACCTAGGGCCTCCCTGGTGTCATAGGGGTTAAGTCTCACCACTATCAGCTATCACACTATCACCACTACAGTCTGGGTTCCCTGAGTTCAATCCCTGGCCAGGGAGCTAACCCAATGGCACAGACCTCTCCTGTCTTGCCTGCTGCTCTCCTCAGCAGTATATTCAGTATTTTAGTATGAAATTCAGTGGTCTCAGTATATTTAGAATGTTGTACACCATCTGTATAATTCAGAAAATCAGGCAGAGAAAGGAATGAATCTACTGCCAGGGATTTGGAAAGCAAGTGTAATCCTTCCTCCCCTGATACTGTATAAGAGAAATCAATGCAGGATTTTATTCAACGTCAAATTCCACACAATTTCCTCTTGTCCTTTACCCCTGAAACCTCACAGTTCTACAATCCCAAGATCCCCTGTGTTCAGCCCCAAGGACTAGGACTTGTGTGAACTCCACAGGCCAGGTGCAGGCGTTGAACTTCCCCACACACTCTTAATTGACAGAATTCGCAGTTGTGTTGTGCAAAGTCAGAATCACCATGAAGTTATTGGTCTGATTATCATTCTCCTGTAAATGGAACCACTTTCCTTGCTTTCCTGATCCAAATTCAAAGCCGGCATCCTGGTAGATGAGAGAGATACATGTATCAGCAGGTTGAATCCTATCTTCCCACTTCCCTCATCCTTCACTGAGTAGGAAAGGTTGCCTCCTGGAGCTAGGAGGAGAATGGAGCTCATCTTTTCCAGAGGAGATACTCTAAACAGGAGGAGACAGACAGTCTCACAAAAGAACCTGAAGCCCAGAAAAAAGCATCAACAAGATGCTCCCCATTACATTGGCGGGAGAGAGAGGATTCCCTGGGGTACAAGAAAAGGACACTCCTGGCAGAAGGAGCAGTGTGGAAGAAGGCATGAAACATCTGGTGTATTTAGGGAATGCCAAGAAACCCATAGACCCAGGGAAAGAAGAGGCAAGTCAAGGCGGGGGGTGGGGGGGGAAGGAAGAGAAGCGGGACCCAGATCATGCAGACCAGGCAGAAATTTTCAGACTCTTATGCTGAAGGCATAAGAGAGAGAAGTAGTCTGTATGTTTTTTTTTTTTTTAATAGACATTTGAGTGGCAATTTTGAGAAAACAGAGTTGGATTGCCAGGATATGGGAACATCCAGGCAAGACAGAGTTTTAAGTGCCTAAGGAATAAGAATCTTTCTTAACCTACTCATAGGTGTGCAAGGCACAGAGTAGAGGCACAAACACCAGGGATGAATACTGACCCCAGTTATCCAGGCTGTCACTCTGGTTGTACCTGAGAAAATGAGGCTGATCATTAGGATGTGGGGAAGAAGGGGGAAGGGCCAGCCCATGAACACATCTTACTTCCTCCCATCTACTTACCTGGTCTTTGCTATCCTCCATCCCACTAGGGCATTAGACCATCTTCCAAAATCTAGAATTGGGAGGTGGGGGAGATTTAGCAATCCCTGAGGCCTGGGATCCTGCAGGTGCCCCCTGCAGAGGGTCATCCCCATCTTCCCCTGCAGTGACCTCCCCTCTTCCCCATACTGAAAATGTCTGGGTTCCCAGACCATCACCTCCTCACTCAGAGTGTTCGAAGTCCATACCAGACCAGAAAGCTTTAGCAGCAGCAGCACCAGCTGTCTCCAGGAACCCTGACCCCTGACACCCTTGTGGTAGATGAAACGGCCTCCGGTTTGGTTCCCAACCATCACAAGGTCCTGAATAGGGGTTTGGTTCCTACTGGAAAGGAGAACAGAAACTAACCAAACTCCGGGACAGGCACAACCTTCTTTCTCCCTGCCCTCTCTTCAGCACCCACCTGAAGACTCTGGTGTGATGGTTAATATTTTTGCCAATGTTGGAGGCCCACAGAATCTTCGAGTTTCCTACCAATGCACAAGTCCCACAGTAGAGATCAAAATGGCTCATTGAGGGTCTGGGAATCTCCTTGAAGAACTTCTTCCATACTTTGCCAAGCTCTCTTGCTGAGTTCATGTCCTGGAAACAGCAGAAGGGAGGAGATTTAGGACTGAGCCCCAGGTATTAGCTTCAAGGGGAAGAAAGCAGAACTGGGTGGGCAAGACCTCCATCCAAGGGTCAGAAGTCAAGGCTGTGAAGATGGGAGGCACATGAATCCAGGGTCTAGGACAGGGGTTTGGGCCAGAAAGTAGGTGATGGTTCAGGCCTGGGAAGAACAGGGGATGGTGCTGGGACCATTGTTGACCACTGACCAACCACCAAGGCATGGAGCCAGGAATCTTGGACTCTTTTGCCCTCATCAGGATCCCCATCATCTTCTCGTAGCATGCATCAAACCAGTTCCATTCTCTCACTGCGTGGTGGCAGAGTGAGTAGTTGAGAGTCCCAGTTGGGTAGTGGCATTTCCTGAATTTGATCCAAGGACAGTTGCCATGCCATGGTACTAAGTCCAATGATTTTTCTTGGGGTGCCAATTCAGGTTCTAGATCCAAGTAGGGGGCCATCAGCCACAAGATGATCACACAAAGGACCCATGTGACAAAAATCTGCCAAAAGTTCTTCATGTCTGGCCCAGGTAACGGCTACTGTGGCAGGCGGCAGACTGGCTTCTCTACCTGAAACTGAGAAGGATGAGAAACTGAGGCCACAGGCAACCCTTCAAGCTCCTGTCCTGTTGGCCTCCATGGTTCCCCACCCTTCCACATATACCTCCTCCTAACCCCTCATCTTTTGTCTCCCTATCCATTTGCTCACCTCCAAAAAGAACTCTAGCTGGATTTGGGATGGAAGGTGTGAGGGCAGAGAGATAACATATAGTGTATCCCATATTCTCCCTGCAGGAGGAAGAGTCTGCTGTGCCACCCATTTATATTATAGGTCTCATCACAAAGTACACATTGTGATCTTCCTCCTTTAGTCTGCCTGGCAAAATCACCGCCCTCTCCTGTAATGTACAAGCTGCCTACACTGAATGGAGGATCCACCAGGACAAGGACTGAACTTGCTGGTCTTCTTTGCCTCTACAACCCTAAGACTTAGAATCATTTAATAAATATTTATAGGCCTCCCCGGTGGTGCAGCTGTTTGAGTGCAGTGCTGTGAAACTGTCTGCAGTCTCTGCAGCGTGGGTTTGATTCCCGGCCAGCCAGGGAGAGTCCCACAAGGCGTGGCAGACCTCTCCTGTCTGGCCCGCTGTCTCTGGTGAATCCTCTCACCCTTCCGTGCCCCTGGCCTGTACCCCAGCTCTTGTACAAATAAACAAATCTTAAAATAAATAAATATTTATGGGGTGAATGAACAGGACTAGGAGAAAACATTAAGTACTAGTGATGCCCCCTCTCCAATTGTGTGACTTCTGTGCAAACCTATCTTCTGTCCTCTAGACCGCACCTCCAACAGCCTATTGGGCTCCCCTTTCCATGTCTCAGAGACCTCTCACACTGAACAAGCCCAAGACTGAAATCATGACTTTCCTTTCACCAATCCCTTCCCAAGAGACTTCCCTCTCTCAAGAAGTGGTCCCACCATTCACCAGTTCCTGAAGCCAGAAACGCATATGTTAAGCATGATTTCTCTCTCGCCTATGCTTTCCAAGTTCATTTGCATCTTACCTCCAAATCACTTTCTTTTTCTCTTCTACCACCCCCTCATTCACATTTGCAGTCAATTCCACTCCTACATCAAACAACCCCTAAGCTACTTTCTTTACAGATTTGTTGCGTTTAGTCATTTTATGTAAATGGAATCATACAGTATATCATTTCATGCATCTGACTTTTCTTAGCATCATGTTCTTGAAACTTATATTGTTAATACATATACGTGTACCAGCACAGTCTGCACTACTTAATGTCCTGAGAAATGTGTCATTAGATGATTCTGTCACTGTGCTGTCACATACAGTGTAATTCCACAAGCCTAGGTGGACAGCTTACTACACACCTAGGCTCTACATGCACTGTTGTATATGTGGTGGTTGTGATGTCACGGTAGTTACTGTTAAGGAGTGTTCCTATATGTGGAGATGTCACATTTTAATTATCTATTCATCATCTGATGGCTATCTGGATTGTTTCATTTTTTGGTTATTATGAGTAACACTGCTGTGGACAGGTGTTTACAAATCTTTATGGGGACATGCATTTTCATATCTCCTCATTTCATTTCTATTTCATATCTCTTGGATAATGAGAATTTGCTGGTTTATATGGTAAATTTATAATTAACTTTAAAAAGAAAACTTTTCAAAGTATTTTGCAACATAGTAGCAACACCATTTTATTTTTTTTAAAGATTTATTTATTTATGCATACAAGAACTGGGGTACAGGCCAGAGATGCAGGATGTGAAAGGATTCACCAGAGACAGAGTGGGGAGCAGAACAGGCAGAATGACTGAAATACACTGCTAAGGGGAGCAGAGGGCGAGACAAGAGAGGTCTGTTGCGCCATGTGGGTCACCTTCCTGGCCGGGGATCGAACTCATGCTGCAGAGGCTGTGGACAGCTTCACAGTGCTGTGTTTAACCCCTTGTGCCACCAGAGGCTCAGTAGCACTATTTTATACTACCATCAGCAAAGATATAAAAAGTACAATTTGGGCCTCCTAGGTGGCACAGGGGTTAAAGTCTCAGCGCTATGAAGCTATTGCTAGCCACTGCAGCATGAGTTCAATCCCCTGCCATGGAACTGACCTACCTGGCGCAGCAGACCTCTCCTGTCTTGCCCCCTGCTCCCCGCAGCAATATATTTCAGCATATCTGCCTGTTCTGCTCCTCACTCTGTCTCTGGTGAACCCTCTTACTCCCCACACATCTGGCCTACACCCCACTTCTTGTATGCATAAATAAATAAATCTTTTTTTAAAGTGCAATTTTTCTATGTCCTCATCAATACTTGTTTTTGTCTGTATAGTTTTTATCATAATGTTCCATTATTTCAAGTTCACAAGAATCTAATCTGGTTAATGATGGTGTCTGCTGGTTCTTGCTCATGGTGTACTGTTTCCTGATATATCCTGATGTGCACATCTTTAGCAGGGTTTGATCCCTGAGAATGCCATGTGGTTTAAATAGAAGTGTGTTCCCTCAGAATAGTTTCATGTTTACTGCTACCAGGTACCCTCAAGTTTATGCTAATTTCTCCACTTTGGAGCTTCTAGGCTCAAAAGAGAGTGTAAAGCCAAACCCCACATTTATGTGAGGACAGGCCTGTGATTATAATGTCTGAGCAATGTTTTATTTCTATTTTTGTCTTCCATCAAAGACACCAGTGGAGACAATTTCAAGCATTCTTTCTCTTTTTTATTTTTTTAAAGATTTATTTATTTTTATACAAGAATTGGGGTACAGGCTAGAGATGTGGGGGGTGAGAGGATTCACCAGAGACAGAATAGGAAACAGAACAGGCAGATGGACCTAAGTACACTGGTGAGGGGAGCAGCAGGCAGGACAGAAGAGGTCTGTCCGCCATGTGGGTTTCTCCCTGGCCAGCTATCGAACTCTTGCTGCAGTGGCTGCGGATTGCTTCATAGATTGCATCTTAACCCCTGCGCCACCAGGGAGGCCCTCGTTCTCTTTTTCACAAGTGGATTTTTCCTAGCCTACCCTTTCCCGAGAGGTAAACTCTAGCAAGATCCCTATCTTTCCACTGAGGCCTCAAGGTTGATCATCTCTTCTCCAAGATAGGCATTAATATCTAATACCCAAAGAAGACTGCCCCCCATCTATTTTGACAGTGATATTAAAGTAAGGACAAATAGTCATAGGGGTTCAGACTATACTGATTAAAAAATACTTAATGAGGGCCTCCCTGGTGGTACAAGAGGTTAAGTCTCAGCACTATGAATCTATCGGCAGCCATTGCAGCATGAGTTCGATCCCTGGCCAGGGAGCTAACCCACACGGAGAGCAGTCACTCTCCAGTCTCGCCTGCTGCTTCCCTCAGTAGTGTATTTCAGTAGATCTGTCTGTTCTGCTCCCTACTCTGTCCTGTTCTGCTCCCTACTCTGTCTCTGGTGAATCCTCTCACTCTCCTCCCCACACCTCTAGCCTACACACCAGTTCTGGTATAATAAATAAATAGAAATAAATCTTAAAAAAAAAACTTTATGAAACAATTTTCTTCCCATCTAAGTGACTCTAAGTCACGTCCTTTCAAAGTCTTCCTACACTGGGCCTCCCCTGATGGCACAGCGGTTGAGCGCTGGGCTACGAAGCTGCCCGCAGCCTCTGCAGCGCCAGTTCGATCCCCAGCCACCGGTGAGGGTCCCACATGGCATGACAGACCTCTCCTGCCGTGCCTGCTGCTCCCCTCAGCAGTGTATTTCATCACTCTGCCTGTTCTGTTCCCCACTCTAGCTCTGGTGAATTCTCTCACCCTCCTGCGCTTCTGACTGTACCCAGTACTTGTATAAATAAATAAATCTTTAAAAAAAAACAAAAAACTAAAAACAAAGTCTTCCTACACTAATATAACATCTTACCAAGTCACAGCTCCTAATACATATTACTCTCCAATGCAAAGGTCATTTACATCAAAGTTTTGTGAACAGTAAATGTCTATGTTTATTATGAATTATTATATGCTTGAAAAAAAGAAAAGAAAATCCAAGGCTGTTGATTTCTGACATACTACCATGTTATTCACCTCACCTTGTCCCATCCTCAGAGTCCCCAGATCAGCTAAGAAATTTACTGCTTTTTTCAATTTCTTTACTTTTAGTCCTTGGGATTTTCAGGCTAAACAGAGAATGTTTACTTTTCTCATGCGTTAGCTATATGTTCAAAGGGATATTTGTGGGCCTCCCTAGTGGCGCAAGGGTTAAGACGCAACCTGTGAAGCTATCTGCAGCCACTGCAGCACGAGTTCGATTCCCAGCCAGCCAAGGAGCAACCCACGTGGCACAGCAGACCTCTCCTGACTTGCCCGCTGCTCCCCTCAGCAGTGTACTTCAGTCAATTTGCCCGTTCTGTTCCCCACTCTATGTCTGGTATTCACCTCTCCCCCCCTATACCTCTGGCCTGTACCCCAGCTCTTGTGTATGTATAAATAAATCTTTAAAAAAAAACACACACACACACAAAGGGATATTTGTTATTCAAGATGTTTTTCAAGATGTTTTATAGCAGGAAGTTTTCCAGAACAAAGTCTGCATATTGCTAGAACTAGATTCTTTCTAATTAATTTTCCCACTGGTCATTGTTTTATGACACTTGTCATTATTTAAATAACATTCTACAAATATTGAAAGAAGGTTCTTCCTTAGGTGGATTGCACCATAGTGTAAATAAAAAGCATTTGCCTAAGACTGTTTTCTTAGCCAACTGCTTTTCAAACATGAGATCACCTAGAGGCCCTAATAAAAACACAGAATGCTGAATTTCATCACCAGAGCTTCTGATTCAGTTTTTCTGGAATTTGCATTTCTAACAAGACCCCAGGAGTTGCCAATACTGCTAGTCCAGGGACCACCTTTGAGAATCATTGCTTCAGCCTAACATATCCAGTCAGCAAAGTATTTTACAGAGAAATGCTGATTCCTTTATTAAACTAGAAGCTCATGTTCTAATTATATTTTTGCTTTCTAAAGAGGGCTTAAAACGTTTTCCTCCCACAGCCTGTAATCGCTTCCTAACTGATATCTCTGCTTTTATTCTGTCCATTGCTCTTCTATTCTTCACCCAGCAACCCAGGAATTAATTTCCTGTTTGAACCCTTAAAATGGGATCCCATTAAACTTAGAATAAAATACAAAATCATCACTCTCCTCTTTGCAACAATGGTATGGGAAAACCAGATAACGACATGCAGAAGCAAAAACTTAGGCCACTACTTCACACTACACACAAAAATTAATTTAAAATGTATTAAAACCCCTAAATCATATATAGTGGTACAAACCAACAATACTTGAATAAAAAATAATACAATGTTTAAAATAAATTAAAGATTTGGAAACAAGACCTAAAGCCATAAAATACACAGAAGAAGACATATACCCCACATTGACTTCAATGATGTCTTTGGGGACTGAACTTTCAGAGAAACAAAACCAGAAATAAACAAATAGGACTGCATCAGACTAAAAAGCTTCTGTACATGAAAGAAATTATCATTAAAGGAAAAGACATCCCGCTAAAAGGAAGGAAACATTTGTACAACATAACCACAACATAGTCATCTGAGAATACATGCTTCTTGCACTTGGTGGTGGCAGCTAATGTGTGACTCTGGAGTCAGAAAAATCAGTCCTTGAACTCCATCAACTATCCCTGAAAACTTGGGCAAAATCAATTCACCTCTTAAACTCCTCATCTATAAAATGGGATTTGAAATAGCACCTACCTCCAATAGCTGCCGTGACAGAATGGATTACAGATGGCAAAATGTCAATTTTCACTTAATATGAATTTGTCATCTCCCGGGGCACTGACCTAGTCTGCAGTGATACAGTCAAATGCATCAAGAAGGTTGGATCGGGCCTCCCCGGTGGCGCAGTGGTTGAGCGCTGGGTTGCGAAGCTGCCCGCAGCCTCTGCAGCGCCGGTTTGATCCCCGGCTGCTCCCTGGCCACCGGAGGAGGGTCCCACATGGCGCGCAGACCTCTCCTGCCGCCCGCTGCTCCCCTCAGCAGTGTGCTTCGGTCCTTCTGCCTGCTCTGCTCCCCGCTCTGGCTCTGGTGAATTCTCTCACCCTCCTGTGCTTCTGACTGTACCCAGTGCTTGTATAAATAAATAAATAAATCTTAAAAAAAAAATTTAAAAAAAAAAAAAAAAGAAGGTTGGATCATCAATAAACATAGGACCTAAAATGGTGGTTCCCTCAGGAAAATGGTGCAGAAAATTGAAATCAGCCAACATGCAAAATACAGTTGCTACTCATGCATCAAAACGAAGATGAAGAGATGAGCTATGGGGACCAGGTATTGTGGTTCCTGCACAAAAACTCTAGCTGGTGGAGCCTGGGCCTACATCACCACTTTGCCAGCACAGTCAAGTCTGCCATCAGGAAAACGAAGGAATTGAAAGACCAGTAGAAATGCCACAATTTGAAACACATAATAAATGGATTAATTTATGTAACAATTACTTTGATTTGTAATTTTATTAATTAGATGTTCTGATATACATTGCATTAATTTTACTTCTCAAAAAAAAGACTAGAGAGTTTAAAAATCCTTATTTTTACTGGAAAAATATGAGATGGGTTATAATTCAGTATTTTTTTCAGTAGTCAAATGATTTACGATATAAGAATATAAGCCATAGAGGCAGAAATGTATCTTAGTTTCTTTTAAATTTGTTCTTGCACGTTCAATTTCTTTGAGATACACTGGTTCAAATTAAGCAAACTTATTTTTAAATCACAGTTAATATTTTACAAATGTTTCAAAAGGTAGGATGATATATGCTGTCTCTTAATTCTGTCTAACCACACATTGTATTAGAATTCCTGAACAAATTCTCCAACTATATCATTCTCCATTTTTCTTTTTCTTTTTTTTTTTTTTTAAAGATTTATTTATTTATGCTTACAAGAGCTGGGGCACAGGCCAGAGATGCAGGGGGTGAGAGGATTCACCAGAGACATCGCGGAGAACAGAACAGGTAGATTGACTGAAACACACTGCTGAGGGGAGCAGCGGACTGAGACAGAAGAGGTCTGCTGTGCGATATGGGTTTCTCCCTGGCTGGCTGGGGATCGAACTCGTGTTGCAGAAACTGCTGGCAGCTTCATAGTGCGGTGCGTAGCCCCTTGTGCCACCAAGGAGGCCCTCATTCTCCATTTTTCAGTTTGCACACAATTATTCATAGGATTGTATTATTCAAGTTGATACAATCACACTAGTAAAAAATGAAGTTTCCTGAAGGAAAAAACAAATATATGTTAGGCATTTCCTTCTCCCTGTCCTCAGCTGAGGGCATAAGAGGAGTTCTGGAACTCCCAATATTCTCCTGAGTCTGACACACAAAGCACCCAGCTCCGGTGTCCGTCCTCCACTTTCTGGAAGCCTTCTCCTCTAGACTTTGCAGTCTCCTGAGACACCTCCTGTCAAAGTTCTGGTCCTATATCATTGAAATGATCTGAATCATGTACTTCCATCAACTGTGGTCAGGAGAAGCACCAAAATGCTGTTTGAATAAAGTCAATCCCAAAGGCACTCTATGGTCCAGAAAAAGTGAGTAGGAATCAGACCTTGTCATTAATTGGATGTGATCTGGAGTGAGTTACTTAGCTTGTCTGGATCATAGTTTCTTTTTTCGGAAATGGAGATAAAATCCACACTTACTTTCTAGGCCAAGATTCTCCAACTTTAACTGCAGGGAGTTTACCCGGGAGCCACTCCTAGTCTTTGGTTGTGCAGGTCTGAAGTGTAGCCTTTTTGCATTTCTAACCGGTTCCCAAGAGATAATGCTGGTGCTGACTGGCAACATTCTGAAAATGACTGCTCTAGGTTTTTACAAGTTGTTCCAAGAGTGGTGACATGAAATTCGGTGCAGTTACAGGCACAAGGGAAGTGAAGGCAGCTGTTACTGTTTCCACCCCGCAGAGCCCTCCTCTCGGCAAGGCGGTCCGCACAAGACCACAGTGATCCAGGGACTCCCTTCCAGGCCGCGTCTGGAACCTGTGGCCCGGGAGAGTGGGTGCAGTAGCTCCCGCAGCCAGGTCAGCCTCAGGTAGAATGCTAGAGGGGGTGGAGCCGCGCATGCGTGTTGCTGCGCCTGCGTACGGAGAAAGGGGGCGTGGCTCACGCTCCGGGCCGGAAGCGGGAGGCTGCCGGGGCGGGCTGGCTGGCGGCCCCTTTCCGGCCGGTCCCCATGGAGGCGCTGGGGAAGCTGAAGCAGTTCGATGCCTACCCCAAGACTCTGGAGGACTTCCGGGTCAAGACCTGCGGGGGCGCCACGGGTAGGCCGCGGTGGGGCTGGGGTGGTGGGGAGAGGGGTGCCCTGGAGCTTGGTCGGGGCACCTGGCTTTTGCCTGGCCTGCCGAAAGCAGAGGGAGTGGGAACAGAGGCCATTCTGACCCTCGTTCCCTGCTCTGCAGTGACCATTGTCAGTGGTCTTCTTATGCTGCTTCTGTTCCTGTCCGAGCTGCAGTATTACCTCACCACTGAGGTAAGGGGCGGGGCTTGGCTGGGGGCGGGGCCTGGCATGTTAGAATTTGTGTCTTTAGGTGTATTTGGGCTGGGAGAGGCTTGGGGCCAAATCTTACTGAGGTAGCACTGCCCCAGGTGCATCCTGAACTCTACGTGGACAAGTCGCGGGGAGATAAACTGAAGATCAACATCGACGTACTTTTTCCGCACATGCCTTGTGCCTGTGAGTACCTAAACATAGGTGGGCGTTGCAAGACCTAAGGTTCTCATGTTCTCAGAGTCACACCACCAACTTTAGTTTCTGTACTGGACCCCCAAGAGAGCCTCCTTCCCCTAATCCACTACAACCCCAACATAGGCCCAGCATCCCTTTTCCCTCCCAAACCCAGATCCCTTGACCCAGTGATCCCTGTACCTTATCCTGACTTCTTGCTTCCAGATCTGAGCATTGATGCCATGGATGTGGCTGGGGAACAGCAGCTGGATGTGGAACACAACCTGTTTAAACAGCGACTAGATAAGGATGGCATCCCCGTGAGCTCAGAGGCAGAGCGTCATGGTAACTAGGGAAAGGGCCAGGTCTCAGATCCCAGAGCTGGTCATACCCAAGCCCCACCTCTGGCAAGTAGGTTGTGTCCAGCCAAGTGAGAAATGAAGTAACTGAGACTTAGAGAAATCGAGTGATTTGCTTAGCTTTGAAGAAACAGTGGGGTGAAGCCTAGGCTTCCAGTCTCTGTGTAGTGCGTAGTGTACCTGGCCGTCATTTTATTTTATTTTATTTTTAAAGATTTATTTATGCATACAAGAACCGGGGTACAAGCCAGAGGTGCGGGGGAGGGGAGGGTGAGAGAATTCACCAGACATAGAGTAGGGAACAGAACAGTTATCGACTGAAATACACTGCTGAGGGGAGCAGTGGGTGAGTCAGAAGAGGTCTGCTGTGCCATGTGGGTCACCTCCCTGGGCGGGGATTAAACTCATGCTGCAGTGGCTGCAGCTACCTTCATAGGTTGTATCTTAACCCCTGCACCATCAGGGGGGCCCTATTTTTTAATTTTTTGAGAAAGCTCCTTACTATTTTCCATTCTGGCTGTACCAATTTGCACTCCCACCAATAGTGCACAAGGATTCCCTTTTCTCCACATTCTTGCCAACCTTTCTATCTTTTTTTTTTTCCTTTAAATAATAGCCATTCTGACAAGTGTAAGGTGATTTTTTATTTGCATTCTCCTGGTGATTGTGTTGAGCACCATTTCTTGTATCTTTTTGGCCATTTGTATGTCTTTGGAAAATGTCTATTCAAATCCTTTGCTGAGTTTATAATCAGATTGTTTTTTGCTGCTGAGTTAAATTAATTAAAATGAATAAATTTTGGGAATTAACCCCTTATCAGGTATATGGTTTACAAATATCTTCTCCCATTCAGCATTGGTTGCCTTTTCATTTTGTTGATCTTCGTTGCATAAAAGCTTTTTATTTTGGGCCTTCCTGGTGGTGCAGGAGTTAAAGACAGTGCTATCAAGCTATCGCCAGCCACTGCAGCGTGAGTTCAACCCAAGGCCAGCCAGGGAGCAACCCATAAGGTGCAGCAGACCTCTCCTGTCTCACCTGCTGCTCCCCGCAGCAGTGTATTTCAGTAGATCTGCTTGTTCTGCTACCCACTCTCTCTGGTGAATCATCTCACCCCCTTGCACCTCTAGCTTACACCCCAGTTCTTGTATGCATAAATAAATAAATCTTTTTTTTAAAAAGCCTTTTATTTTGAAGTAGTCCTACTTGTTTATATTTTTGTTTTTGTTGCCTGTGCTTTTGATGTTATATCTAAAAAAAATCATTGCCAACATCAATGTCAAGGAGCTTTCCCCCATATTTTCCTCTAGGAATTTTATATTATGATGTCTTTAGCCCAATTAGAGTTCATTTTTGTGAATGGTATAAGGGAGGAGTCCAGTTTCATCTTTTTTTTTTAATGTGAATATTCAGTTTTACCCACACTGTTCATTAAAGAAGCTATCTTTCCCTATTTGGGGATTTAAGTAAAAATGGGAAGTGAGAAAGGAAGGAGTGACAGTGTCAGTTGGTGAATTTTGGGTATCAGAGATAATAAAGTAGGAAATTAAGTAGATGGGGATACTTGAAATTGAATTTGGAAGGTTTGCAGTAATTGGTAATGACAAGATATGAGCATGGAAATGTGTGGCTGAGATGAGAAAATAGATTATTGGAGGCAAGGAGGTCAGGGATCTAGATATTGAAATTGCCAGTTATGATGGTGTAATAGTTAGAGCAGGATGCCGAGTTCAGAGAGAGATGCCTGAGAGGTGGTGAAGTGGTTAAGGGCATACACTTTGGAACTAGAACTGAAATCTGTCACTTACTATGTTGCACTGGGCAAAGGAACTTCACATCTCTGAGTCTCCACATCATCTTTAGTATGATGGGGATAATACGTTTACCTTGAAAGAGTCATTTTGGGAATGAAATGAGATGATGTATGCAAAGTAACCTGCACCCAGCTAACATTTCATTTTCACTATTAGTACTCTTTTTTTTTTTTTTAAAGATTTATTTATTTATGCATACAAGAATTGGGTGGGGCACAGGCCAGAGGTGTGGGGGTGAGAGGATTCACCAGAGACAGAGTGGGGAACAGAACAGGCAGACTGACTGAAATATACTGCTGAGGGGAGCAGCGGGCGAGACAGGAGAGGTCTGCTGTGCCATGTGGGTAGCTCCCTGACTGGCCAGGCATCTAACTGCGCACAGCTTCACAGTGCTGTGCTCAACCCTTTGTGCCACCAGGGATGCCCTATACCATTCCTCTTATGAAAATAAATAATGTACATGCTTAGTGCCTGATACATAGCAGGCCCAATGTAAATATTAGTATTATCGTGCATGATTCCTAAGCTGAAGGCCAGAGGGATTGAGGATACAAATTTCACTGTGTCTGCCTGCAGCTGATACCTCTGCCTCTGCCCTTTCCTTAGAGCTTGGGAAAGTTGAGGTGAAGGTGTTTGATCCTGACTCCTTGGATCCTGATCGCTGTGAGAGCTGCTATGGTGCTGAAACAGAAGATATCAAGTGAGCTGGACCCTGGGTGTGGAGGAGGATGGGCAGAAGGGCTCCCAGCAGGCACTCTTGCTCAGCCAGTCTGAGTCTCCACTGGACTCTGTGGCAAGTGGGGAGGGTAGACCAAAAATTTAGACAGGATGGGGTATGTGCCTTGGTCACGGATCATGGTGTAAGTGACCGAGGCTCTATGGCCAGCCCTGCTTGGGCACTACAGACCTGCGGGTGAGGCTTAAGTGGTCTCTGCTTCAGGGGTGGTCTGTGGACTCTAGCTGTCCTTGGGCCAAACCATATATTCCCTCTGAAGAGGGATGCCATTGACAGAACCTTTTGTCTAAGAATCACATAAGGCCTAAATGTGTACTGTATGTAAAGCACTCAGAGGGAAGACCCAGTCCAGGTTTAAGCACTGGTTATATGGCAACTGCTATTATGTTTCCCAGTTCCTGATCTCTGAGAGCAGCTCTGGGTGGGGTCTGGGAATATGTATCTTCAAACTTTTCTTTATTGTGATAAAATATATGTGATTTAAAATTTGAATTCTTTCCATTGGTGCAATTCAGTGGCATAACTACATTCTTAGCCTTGTGCAATCATCATTACTCTCTTCCAAAATATTCCATCCCCCAAACTGAATGGGGAATAATTGTAAACAGTCCTGCTGCCACTGAGGAAACACACTTTGAAAATATTATGTCAGGGATGAGGCTAGCAGAGGCTTCATTAGCAAACTGAACTGCTCAGGCTTTATTCCCAAAGCACCAGCACTGTTTCTCTGCCTCCCCAGCACTCTAACGTTGCACCCCTTCTCCTGCAGGTGCTGTAACACCTGTGAGGATGTGCGGGAGGCATATCGCCGTAGAGGCTGGGCCTTCAAGAACCCAGACACTATTGAGCAATGCCGGCGGGAGGGCTTCAGCCAGAAGATGCAGGAGCAAAAGAATGAAGGCTGCCAAGTATATGGCTTCTTGGAAGTCAACAAGGTACAGGAGGGACTGAGGCAGGGCAGAGCCAACTGGGCTATGGGTTAACCCTAGGCCTTTGTGAATGGAGGGCTCACTCAGGCCCCCAGGGCAAAGGGAGGAGGAAATGGCTGGAGAATGAGAGGGAATTTCCCTAACAGGTGGCGGGAAACTTCCACTTTGCTCCCGGGAAGAGCTTCCAGCAATCCCACGTGCACGGTGAGTGATCCTACATCAGCCAGATAGGTTTAGACCCTAGACACCTTGGCAAGTTGGGTGCCCTTTCACCTGCCTGATATTCCTTTGCCTTTGGTCAGAGCAGACTCCTTTCAGGGTAGTAGTTTGGTGTAAGGGTTAGGAGTACAAGCTAAGGAGTCAGACTGTCTGGGTTAAGATTTCAGCCTCAGACCTTTCTAACTGTTTCTTAACCTTTTCAAGCTTCATTTTCTTGCTTTATAAGATGATGATGAGAGTTCTTATCTCCTACGGTGTTTGAACAGGTTCTTGTGGAAGGCACTTGTTTAAACGGTAGCCCCCCTATGAGCTGACCTGTGTGTGAATGGAGCTGAGCTGGAAAACAACTTTGGGAAGCAGCAGATAGGGGAAGGGTGGTGCACTGGGATTATAGGAAGATGGTTAGTGTCAGGTGTTGGTGTGGGCCTGCAGGCACTCAGCAGTACAAGATACTGCCAAGGCAACAGCTGTATCTCTGCTTCTCCACCTGGGTTTTCGTCAGAGGCAGAGACATGCTCAGTAGCCTGGACCAGAAGCTGAATGGAAAAGCCGGGAACTAGTTCTGACATTTGGTTGATTTAGGGTGGGGCAGAGGGGAGGTTGTAAAATTTACCAAGTTCTTTTCCATCATAGATCCTCAGGACAGCCTTTTGCAGAGCTCATTGAGGCCCAGAGGGGGGCCAGTGATTTGCTCAGCCACCCAGCAAGGAACATGGCTCTAGGTCTTTGTTCTTCCTAGGCTACCATGCTTATGTCTCAAGCCCCTTTGTACTCTTTTCTGGCCAGGAAAGGGCTCCTTGGGAAGGGGACCAAGAGGAGGCTTATTAGCTGGGTCCACACCCTGCTGCTTAGGCAGGAATATTTTAGTCTTCCCTACCACCACTTAGCTTGCTCCATAGTTCTCATTGCAAAGCTCTGAATCTTTTTTCTCTTCCTCCCTTCTCTTTCCCTCCCTCCCCCATGCTGCAGTACATGCTGTGGAGAGTAAGTGGCCCTGCCCCCCAGGGAGGCCAAAACCCCACTTCTAGGGAAGCAGCCTACTATCCCAGAATAGGGGGAGGTTTGGGTCTGGGTTGGGGCCTTTCTCTGGGTGACTCTAGAAAGCACTGCAGCTTATCTTTCAGGTGGGGTTCCTTGCAGCAGGAGGGATCAGGTTAGAGAGCAGAAGGAACTTGTTCTGGAATAGATGATCTAGGGTAGCCATGGGTGTCCTTTTGGGGCTTTGAGGATAGGGGCAGAGCAGTCAGGGAAAGAACCTGGACAGCATTCTCAGGTCCCACCTCTCTTTGGGGTTTGGTGATTGGTCATTAGCTCTAGTCAATTAGAAGCTGGGTTTTGTTTCCTGAAGAGCAAGCAAGGCCTTGGTAGGAGTAATGCCTGGAACAATGCCCATAACAGGTTTCTTACATATGTCAGAGGAGAAATAGGGTCTAATTTCATATGAACCCGAGGAAGACTTGAACTTTCCACAGGCCCAAGGCAGGCCCTATCAGATTGCCCTCAAGCAGGGTGAGGCTGGGGATTGAGTGGGGGTTTAAAGAGCCATGTGGGTCACACTCCAGAGGGAGGTGTGAGGAGACCTGAGCAAAGGTCCGAGGGAGCCATGGGGCTGGTCCTATTCCACCTGGTGACACCATCTCCCTTCTCTCCTAGTCCACGACTTGCAGAGCTTCGGCCTCGACAATGTACGTGCCAGGTGGAAACCTTGAAGGGCTGGTGGGAGCGGGAGGCTTGGTTGTTGCTTCCTTTCCCTTCCTGTCCTTCTCTCCAGGGAACTCTGGGGCAGGGGACTTACCAAACATACATTCTGACAGTGCTCCAGTCTGAGGAAACTGGGAGTGACTTTTGAACTGAGCTCTGCAGAGGCTGGAAACAGGATGGAGTTGGACAAGGGCATTCCCAGCAGAGGAGACCTGGGGGCATGGGCAGAAGAGAATGTGGCACTTCTAAGGAACTGAGCAGGCCGACGTAGACAGGAAAGACCACACTCAGGACCTGCCGAAGAGTCTGAGCTTTCTCCTGAGAACAATGAGATGCTGTTGGCCTACTTTCAGCAGGGTCTTGATATAATCTGATTTTCATTTTCTTAAGATCCCTCTAGTGGTTGAGTTTGATATAGTTGGAGTCGGACAGGTGCAGAAGCTGGGGGTTCTGGAGAGCCTAGGGTTGTTCCAGTCTAGACCTCCCTGGCTTTTGAATCTAAGCAGAGCTTTCACTTGTCATGTCTGTATTTGCCTAATGTAAGGATACAACCAAGGAGTCCCAGGAGCCCCACGAACTCTGTGAAGGAATTCCTAGGTAGGGAGCAAGGGTGCCTGTCTTGGGCAGGTTCTCTCAGGCAAGACCCTGTCCTTCCTCCCCCCATCTCCACATGTCCGCTCCCCAGACCCAGGGCCCCTGTCTGCTGCTGTGCTGCAGAGCTTTCAACAGGTGTTCTTGCTGAGGCCTCAAATGCTCTGAGGCTCCAGTGCTGGTGTTGCTTGCAGATCAACATGACCCACTACATCCGGCACCTGTCATTTGGGGAGGACTATCCAGGCATTGTGAACCCCCTTGATCGCACCAATGTCATTGCACCCCAAGGTACCAGTCTGGGAGGGTGCCCCCAGCTACCAGAGCCCTGCCTGGCACCCACTCCCAGTGTTCTCTTCTCCCTGCAGCCTCCATGATGTTCCAGTACTTTGTGAAGGTGGTGCCCACAGTGTACATGAAGGTAGATGGGGAGGTGAGTTTGAGGGTGCTCAGACATAGTCTCCTGCTTGGTGCCAAGCACTTAGAAAATGAAGTGCTGCTCAGATTCTCATGTGATTGGTGACAAGCTGAGGTCCATGAGGGTAGGTGATTTGCAAGCAAAGCCTTGTACAGGCTTCAGAGTACAGGATTGGCCTTTGGATTTCTAAGCGTTTGGTCTGCTTTCCCACACTGCCTCCATCTGTTCCTCTGGTTTCCACTACCTGGGCCCCTTACTCCCAATTTTGCTGTGGCCTTGCTGTGCAACAGCGTCTCACAGAGTGCTGGGACGCATGGGACTGAGAGGAGGAGGCAGCTTTGCCAGGTGCTCATGGTGCCAACTCAGCCTTCTCATTCCTGGACCCTCACATAGAGAATCCACCAAATGTAGCTGGGATGGGTAAATTGTAAAGAGAATGACCAGAGGGGAGGCTGGGAGAGGGCATTGAAGCCTTGCCCTGTTTTCTGCTCCCTAAGTTCAAGACACTACAAGACAAAGGGCAAAGTAGGGGTAGGGCTGAGGGGAGGAGGGAGCCAGGTCATAGACCTTGGCCATAGCGCAGGCTTCCTTCCCTCCCCAGGTGCTGAGGACAAATCAGTTCTCTGTGACCAGACATGAGAAGGTCGCCAATGGGCTGATGGGTGACCAGGGGCTGCCTGGAGTCTTCGTACTCTATGAGCTCTCACCCATGATGGTGAAGCTGACAGAGAAGCACAGGTGAGGATGAGGAAATGGAGGAGCCTGGGCCTACAGGAAGTCAGGGTACCTGCTCACTCCCTTCCTCACCTTTCTGGCAGGTCCTTCACGCACTTCCTGACCGGCGTGTGCGCTATCATCGGGGGCATGTTCACAGGTTAGAAGTTCAGGGAGTCTGTCTGGGATTGGGGCATGGTGGGAGTGTAAATTCTGGTCCCTCTGGGTTCTGGTTGGGGGAAGGGTACAAGGGAGATGCTGGCCTGGCCAGCTAGGTGACATGGCTCTAGAAGTCAAGCCAAGACCCAGCTGACCAGGGCCAGCCCTGTCTCTTTCCCCAGTGGCTGGACTCATCGATTCACTCATCTACCACTCGGCTCGAGCCATCCAGAAGAAAATTGATCTAGGGAAGACAACGTAGTTCTCCTTTTGCCCCTCTTTTGTTCCCTCTTTCTCCTGTTCTCTCTTTGACCTTGTGGTCATATTTCCAGTCTCTAACCCCCAGCCCCAGTCCCTACTTGGAGAGTCAGTCATAGCCCTAGGTTGATAAATCTGTTGATTGTGATAGTAGTTGCTGGTCTCTGTGTGGTTTTTGGGTCTGGCTGGAGCCCGAGAGCAACCCCTTGTCACAGACGCTAACTGAAGGTGGTTAGGCCGCATACAGCCCCTGGCTAGCACACCAGGGCCCACCCCACAACCCTGTCCTCGGTGCATCCTCTGCTGTGGTCTTCCAGCCTTTTGATTTCAGCCTTAGGCCTTTCCTTGGGTGAGCATCCTGGAGCCACCATGGATGGCCTCCAGGCTTTAAGTGTTGGACCCCCGTGGTCCTAGGCCTTGGGTACAGGCTGGAGCTTCACTAATGGCTAAAGCTGGGGCCCCTACCTGCCACTCTAGGCTCAATCTATCCCCTCATGCTCACCGACCCTGCTCTGTGACAAGCCCCTGCTGACTCCTGGTACCAAGAGGGGCCAGCTGGGGCCTTTTGGTCTCCTAAGTGAAGGCAGAACTGAAAAACGGAGGGCAGGTAGCAGGGGTCATGCCAGGGCACACCCCCAGCTCTGGACCTAATCAAGACTTCCCATTGTAGCTCTCAAAGTGTGTGGAAAACCAGGTTCAGAGCCTTGCCTCTCCATCGCCCAGGGAAGTTCAATGTACGACTGGAGTCCAGGAGAGGCAGAGGACAGAAGGCAAAGTCGGGTCATGATAGCAGAGCCTCTGGAGTCAGACCTGAGATCAGCTCTGAGGTGGTCATTTATAAGCTCTGACTGGACACGTCATTTAATCTGACATGGGTACCATGCTCATCTATAAGTTGGAGTGATATTGCAGGCTATATTGAGCCTTGGTTTTTTTGGTTCAACCAGGAACCATTGCTCTTGTTTATGGTATCCTTAAGAGGGCTCATCTCCCATCCTGGGCTCCAGGGAAGGGCCTAATCTGTCACCCAGGGCAAGCCAGACTGTCCAGATGATGATGTGAATATGGGAGATGAGGTGGCAGCAGCCATCCTAGAGTCTTGGGAGACCTGCCTGCAAATCAGCTAGACCTAATGCACAGCAGGCTGAGCCCAGAGGCAGAGAGTCATTATTTAGCCTCATGACAAGCTGTGCCTAAAACCAGGCAACCAAACTTAGGAATTATAGATATGCAATCTAACAATTTCCCTCTATGCTTCAGTCAGTTTGGATTGGTATTTCTATCACTTGCAAACAAGCATTCTGATAGGCCTACTCTCAGTATTGGTGGCAAATAATCAATGAAATAGGTGAGGTATGTAGCTCTCATGGGAGGGCAGAGCCATAGCAGGTAAGCCATCGGCCAGAGCCATAGCAACAAGTGGGTGGCTCAGGGCATGACACTTTGGTTGCTATAGCTCCTCCACCTGATGCCAACTCTTGAGCTTGCCAGCGGCAGAACAACCCTCTGTCCCATTCATCCCGTGAGTCCTGACTTCACCCAAGCCCTGTCCCTGATATTAGATACAGCACATACTCAGGCATCAGTGGATGTGTGGTAAGTTTTCTTCAAAACAGTGAGCTCAGCTAAGTTATACTCGTGACTTCCACTCACTGTCTTGGCATAGCTATGGGGCAGCCCAACTGAGGGCTTAGACAACAGGTCCCAGGGGAGCTCTGAAGTACAGGCTTTGGCTTGCTTGCCCAGCCCAGCCCCAGAAAGAGCTCCAGCTTGGCACTGACCTGACCAGGGGGCTATTCCAGGTCCCTGTTGTGGGAGGGAGACATGTTAGGGCCCTCCTTTTGTTACCCTGGCTAGGCCAACAACCCTCCTCCCTCAAGGCATGCCCTACTCTTTGTATCACTAGACCATACCCTCCCTGCTGCCTAATCCAAAGAGTACTTCATGCCCTCCATCTGATACCCCATTACCCTTACATTCCCATTCCCTATTTCTCCTGCCCTGACAAAGTCACTTCCTAAACTCTAAACCCCACACCCCAAAACCTCTGGGTACACTTGAAATAATTACTTTAATGAAAATGGTAAAATATTTGACAATTTAAATTGAAAAAAAAATACAATAATAAAATTGGACAATATTTTTAAATAAATTCAGTTTTTTAATTTAAAAATAAAATTTTGGGGGGCCTCCCTGGTGGCGCAAGGGGTTAAGCACCGCACTATGAAGCAACCCGCAGCCTCTGCAGCACAAGTTCAATCCCTAGCCTGCAAGGGAGCAACCCACATGGCGCAGCAGACCTCTTCTGTCTCACCCGCTGCTCCTCTCAGCACTGTATTTCAGTCAGTCTGCCTGTTCTGTTCCCCACTCTGTCTCTGGTGAATCCTCTCACCCCCGCATTTCTGACCTGTACCTAGCTCTTATATGCATAAATAAATTTCTTATAAAAAAAAAATTTTTCGGGCCTCCCTGGTGGCGCAGGCAGTTGAGCACAGCGCTGTGCTGTCTGCAGCCTCTGCAGTGCGGGTTTGATCCCGGCCAGCCTCGGAGATACCCACATGGCGCCGTAGACCTCTCCTGTCTCGCCAGCTGTTCCCCTCAGCAGTGTATTTCGGTCAGTCTGCCTGTTCTGCTGCCCACTCTGTCTCTAGTGAATCCTCTCACCCTCCCGCACATCTGGCTTGTACCCCAATTCTTGTACGCATGAATAAATAAATCTTTAAAAAAGGGCCTCCCCAGTGGCGCAGCGGTTGAGCGCTGGGTTGCGAAGGTGCCCACAGCCTCTGCAGTGCCGGTTTGATCCCCAGTTTGATCCCCGGCTGCCGGGCGAGGGTCCCACATGGTGTGCAGACCTCTCCTGCCACCCACTGCTCCCCTCAGCAGTGTGTTTCGTCGGTCTGCCTGTTCTGCTCCCTGATCTGGCTCTGGTGAATCCTCTCACCTTCCCGCACTTCTGACTGTACCCAGTGGTTGTATAAATAAATAAATAAATCTTTAAAAAAAAAAAAAAGAAATCTTTTAAAAAAAAAGGAAAAAAAGAAAATTTTCATTTACAAATGCTTAGAAAAATATTTTAAATGTTTGGGAGCCCCTATTGAAAACCACTGGCCTCTCCATGTCATTGTGACCTATGTGCGCACACCTCCACTTCAGTCTCAGTACTTTCATCCTTGGACCCTCCATACTGTAAGCAGTAGACTCTGGATCTTCCCATAGTCCTGGTCCCATTTCTCCTCAGCCACCAAGAAAAGCACATCCTGGCCAGGGATCTGGGTGCCAGGGTACACAGCGCTGCACACGAAGAATCCAAACTAGCAGGGAGGGTCCCTGGGGCTGTGGACAGAGAAAGGAGACATGGAAGTGGATTTGGTACTGAAACCACCTGCTGTGATGACTTTCTCTGAACAGACCAAATACCCATCTTCAGCTCTGACCACCCTGGAATCCCAAATTCATGTGACCACCTGCTTCTTTATTACTCAAAGGGTGGCCCATGAGCCAACATCACTGATATGACAGTGGATTCCCCTCTCCTCCTCTTCTAACATTATACCTCTCTTCAGACTGCTATTCTACCCCTACCCACTTCCCCCTGACTTCTGCGGCATCAAATTAAGCAAGGAATTGATGCCACCCCTTTGGAATCTAACATGGGCATCTTCCTTCTGGACTGGAACAGACTGGCAGATTCTCCCTGGGCTTCAACCCCTGTAAGATCTGCCACTTCCGGGCCTCCCTGGTGGCTCAGTGGTTGAGTGCTGGGTTGTGAAGCTGCCTGCAGCCTCTGCAGCGCTGGTTCGATTCCCGGCTGCTCCCCGGCCACCGGAGGAGGGTCCCACATGGCATGCAAACCGCTCCTGCTGCCTGCTGCTCCCCTCAACAGTGTACTTCGGTCCTTCTGCCTGCTCTGCTCCCCGCTCTGGCTCTGGTGAATTCTCTCACCCTCCCGCACTTCTGACTGTACCCAGTGCTTGTATAAATAAATAAATAAATCTTAAAAAAAAAAAATCTGCCACTTCCACTTCCTAGTCTTCCAAAGAACATGGTATGTGGCAGACAGAATACTGGGTTTAAGGACAAAATTTTGGAATTCTGAACTTACACACTGCATGACCTCAGGAAAGTCCTTCCTTTCTGAACCTTTGCCTGGGTGTGTAATGGACACAGAATGCACCACATTGCTTTTCAAATTGTGCTTCTTAATCAGGATCTTGCATGTGGTTGGTAAAAATAGATTACCCCACCTACACCAGAAATGCTGAAGTCAGATCTCAAGCTGTGCCTGGGAACCTGAATTTCTAGAAACTGTACTGGTATTCTGATACACAGCAAGAGTTTGGAAAGCTCTAGTCTCATCCATCATGATTCTTTTTTAAAAAAAATACATATATATTTATGTATACAAGAGCTGGGGTGCAGGCTAGAGGTGGGGGGGGGTGGGGTGAGAGGATTCACCAGAGACAGAGTGGCGAGCAGAACCGACGGATTGACTGAAATACACTGCTGAGGGGAGTAGCAGGTGAGGCAGGAGAGGTCTGCTACGCCATGTGGGTCACCCCCCTGGACCGGGATCAAACTTGTGCTGCAGTGGCTATGGATAGCTCTATAGTGCTGTGACTTAATCCCCTGGGCCACCAGGGAGGTCCATCTGTGATTCGTTATAATGTTTTCCATGACTCATATGTTGGTCTTCTGAGTGTGGGTATGTGATTGTTGGGCACTGAATTATCACCCCACACACCTCTGGTGAAAATGGGTCTGGGAGAGGAACCTCCCTGGAGGTCAGTGTTCTCTAGACTAATGAGAGGAAGAGCCTGAGGTTTTGCAGAGCCAAAGAGACTACATGTTTTAGAAATACCCTGGATGATGCCATGCTCCTTAACATTCATTCATTCACAAATATTTGAGCATCTCTACTACATGCTAAGCCTATCTGTGTATTGGAGGATACAGTAATGAACAGAACAAAAATCCCTGGCCTCATAGTTTACAGCCTAGTTCCTGTGGGAGGGAATAATGACATAAGTTGTGGTAAGTGGTGAGGAGAAAAAGCAGGAATGGGTATAAAAATTAGTTCCTGGGCCACCCTGGTGGCCTAAGGGGGTGAGCACAGCACTGTGAAGCTGTCCGCAGCCTCTGCGGCGCGAGTTCGATCCCTGGCCGGACAGTCAGCTACCCACATGGCGCAGCAGACCTCTCCTGTCTCGCTGGCTGCTCCCCTGGGCAGTGGACTTCAGTCAGCCGGACAGTTCTGCTCCCTGCTCTGGTGAATCCTCTCACTCACCCTGCACACCTCTGGCCTGTACCCCAGCTCTTGTATGCATAAATAAATCCTTAAAAAAATTAATTCAAAGTACCATTTTAGTTACTCTTCTCGGAAAGAACAAGAGCGGGCTACGGCTCCCGTGACGTCATGGCTTGCTCTGTGACGCCGGATCAGGGCGTTCTGCGGGGACCGTGGTCTCCTCTATGACGTCAGCAGCCGGGTCTAGACAGAGGCGAGAGGGTTGGGTCCACCCGCGGGGCCCGCCGGCTGCGCACAGGCTCCGTGGGGTCCTGGCGGCGCGCACCGGTCGAGGAAGCGCCGAGGGCCTGGGCGGCTGCGGCGGCGACTTGGGCTTCCGTGAGGGGCGGCCCGGGGTCAGGATGCGGCGGAGCTCCCGCCCGGGCTCGGCCGCGTCCCCACAAAAGCTCACGCCCAACTTCTACAGCGACAACAGCAACAGCTCAGTGAGCGTCACCTCGGGGAACAGCAGCGGGCACTGGTCAGCTGGGCCGGGGCCCGCGGAGCCCGAGGGCAGAAGAGCCCGGGGCTCGAGCTGCGGTGAGCCCGCCTTGAGCGCTGGAGTGCCCGGAGGAACCACATGGGCTGGAAGCTCTCGGCAGAAGCCGGCGCCTCGGAGCCACAATGGGCCGACCGCCTGTGGCGCCGCAACCGTGAGGGGCGGGGCCTCGGGTGCGGGCGGGGTCGAACCCGGGTGAGCCTAGGGAGGGGGCGGGGCTTAAGGGGCGGGGCTTGGCGCGGAACAGGGATAAAATGGTCCAGTCACCTGGGGGGCGGGGCTGTGTGGTGAAGAAGCCCTAAATAACAGGCCTTAAGGGGCGGGGCCTTCATGTGATTGATAGTCCTGGGGGCGGGAAAATTTTGTGATTGGTCACCACTGAAGAGACGCGGCCTCGGCGTTACTTCGAGCCGCGCCCAGGAAAATAGGGCCGTTCTCAGATTGGGGGCGGGGCCTCAGCTTGGGGGTGGGGTTAGCACCCTGACTGGGCTCCCATGAGGGGCGGGGGCTCGGGTTGCAGAGGGAGACCCGGGGTGAGACTTGGGATGCCCGGCTTCAAAGTCTGTGAGAGGCAGCCCAGCCCCTGGCTGGGGAGCCTGCGGCCGGGTACCGGGGAAAGAGTAGACCTGTGATGCGCACGACCCCAATGGAGCCCCTGGGCTCCCGCAGAACCGGCTGGCTCTCCCGTAGTCTCTGAGGAACAGCTGGACCTTCTCTCAACCCTGGATCTGAGACAGGAGGTGCCTCCCCCGCGAGTGTCCAAGAGCTTCCTGAGTATGGGCCAGACCAGCCCGGATCCTCTCTCACCCTCCGACTCCCTTCTCCGAACTCCAGTTCTCATCTCCCAGACCCTGTTCTCCCTTCTGAGCAGCCCGCCCCCGCCCATGTATGAGTTTCCAGCCCCTTTCCCGAGTCAGATCCAGTCTCAGAACCTGAAATCATTTTCCTTGCCCCCCTCTAATTCTCCCAACCCACCCCACTCCCTCCCTGAGCCCTAGGCACTTCCCTGAGCCCCTTCCAGAGCCCCTTCTGAACCTCGAACACCAGGCTCTCTGAGCCCCTTCGTCTCTCCCTTCTCTAGAGCGTAGTGCCCTTTCTGAGCCCCTCTCCTCTCCTCAGGCGTGCTTTTCCAGGTGCCCAGCGTGGTGTTATCCCTGGTAGGAGACGTGCTGGTCAATGTGTACAGGTCAGAGGGAGGGACGGGGTTGGGCTGCTCTTTGGAGGGGGTGGGAAGCAGGGCTGAGACTGAGCCAATTCAGACCTGATTGAGTCGTTTTCATAAAAGCTGGGTCTAAGTTACTGGGGTAGGGGCTGCGGGGTTCACTAGGGTCTTAGGACCTCAGCCTCCCTGCGGTTCCTCAGGGAGGTCTGTTCCATCCGCTTCCTGATCACCGCTGTGTCACTGCTGAGCATCTTTCTGGCAGGTGAGGGGGTAGTGAATATCTTGGGTACCCCAGCCCTGGCTGCTCTGGAACCAAACCCAAAACATTTTCTCCAGCCTCCCACTCAGTGCTTCAGATCCCCAATCCCTGTGGAAGCCTCCTGACTCAACCCCCTCAGGTCTCTTCTCACGTCACTGTCCTTAATGCCAGGGAATCCTCTCCCTGCCTTTTCCCTAAGACCTCCCCCATTCTTTCTCCAGTACTCTGGTGGGGGCTTCTGTATCTGGTGCCTCCTTTGGAAAATGTGAGTCTGGGAAACTCTCCTGGGGGTGGGGTGGCAGGTTATGAACCTGGAGATTGTGAGGGTCCCCTGGGTTGCTGGAAGTGGGGCAGTGCCAAGGCTATAGTCCCAAGGAAGGGCTGCATATAGACCCGGCATTTCTGAGGGATTTTGCCCAGAGGAGGTTAAGGGTCTCTAAGTGACTGGATCCTGGAAGGTCAGGGAAGAGTGCTGGGAGGTCCTCAAAAAGAAAGTCCTTTGAATCTGGCTGCTCCCAGACTGACTGAAGTGGGGAAAAGGGTGTGGGTAGATGGGAGCTCAGCAGCGCTGCATTTTGTACTTCCCTCCAATAGGAACCTAAGGAGATCCTGACTGTAAGGTGAAAAAGGGCATCTGGGATGGGGAACTGGGGGCCTCAAAGGTGTTTCTGTGCGGGCCCTTAGTGGAAGTGTCCAGGGGGACAGGGAGTCAACCACACTATACCAACATCCCCACTGCAGTGAGTACCACGAGCGTGTGCGCTCCCAGGGGCAGCAGCTGCAGCAGCTCCAGGTCGAGCTGGATAAACTCTACAAGGAGGTGTCCAGCGTTCGCGCAGCCAACAGCGAGGTGAACCGTAGACCTGCTCCCAGAGCCGGGACCCCAAGGGTGTTCGGAGTTCCGCCCCCGGTACCTGGCCGGGGGGCTCCACACACTGCGCACTGCTGTCCCACCTGGAAGCCCTTAGAGGAGCCTGGCTAACTGGATCCTGAGTCTTAAAGCCCTGCCCCACATCCCTGACTTTGGGATTTCCCCAGGGGCCCACAAAATGCTTCCCAGAGAACTTATTCCTAGAGAACACTGCCACCTACCCATGAAATCAGTCTGCAAGCCCCTCTAGGCCCCGCCCTCCCTTTTTTCAGAAAGTGGCCAAGCTTGTATTCCAGAGACTGAATGAAGACTTTGTGAGGAAACCTGACTACGCGCTGAGCTCTGTGGGTAAGACCCAGAGACACTGAGAGACAGACTCAGAGATACAGAAAGAGACTGAGACATTGACACAGACTGGTGCACACTACTGGTCCAATAGATAGACCTCAGATAGACACTTCCCTGGAGGTCAGTGAGGGCTTGGAGCAGGTGAGTTGTGGCTTCTCTCTGCTCCAGGAGCCTCTATCGACCTAGAGAAGACCTCCCATGACTATGAGGACACGAACACTGCCTATTTTTGGAATCGTTTCAACTTCTGGAACTATGCACGGCCGCCCACGGTTATCCTGGAGGTGGGCCTAGAACCTAGATCCTGGGTCAAGACGGGTGGGGTGCTGGGGAAAGGCCTTAACAGTTCCCTGGAAGGGGGGCCTGGCTGAGCTGAGGGCTTGGGGTGAGGTGGAGCTCTATTGGGTGAGGGGGTACTTGGCCCCAATGAGGCTGTGGGTGAGGCCCAGGAGGGCATTTAACTTAAGGAGAGACCTAGCAGTGTTGGAGACAGGCCCTGGGTAGGGTCTGACAGGGTAGGGCCTGGTCTGGGTGTGGAGGACTGGATGGGGACTTTGGAAGGCGTGGGGCTACCTGAGCCAAAACCCAAGCTGGGTAAGGGCCCCCCAGTCAAGTCTTCAGATTTTATTTTTTAAAAGATTTATTTATTTATTTATTTATTTATACATACATACATACACACAAGCACTGGGTACAGTCAGAAGCCTGGGAGGGTGAGAGAATTCAGCAGAGCCAGAGCAGGAAGCAGAACAGGCAGACGGACAAAATACACTGCTGAGGGGAGCAGCGGGCGGCAGGAGAGGTCTGCGCGCCATGTGGGACCCTCGCCCCGCGGCCCAGGATCGAACTGGCAGAGGCTGTGGGCAGCTTCGCAGCCCAGCGCTCAACCACTGCGCCACCGGGGAGGCCCCAAGTCTTCTGATTTTAATCGTGTCTCTGCCCACCTGCAGCCAGATGTCTTCCCTGGGAATTGCTGGGCTTTTGAGGGTGACCAGGGCCAGGTGGTGATCCGGCTGCCAGGTCGTGTACAGCTGAGCGACGTCACCCTGCAGCATCCACCGCCCAGTGTGGCACACACTGGGGGAGCCAACAGTGCCCCACGTGACTTTGCAGTCTATGTGAGTGGGGCTGAGGTGGGATTTTGCCTGGAAACGACCAGGCAGACGTACAAACTGTTGCCAGTAGCTGAGTCTTCACTTGCTCTATTTCTATAAAGTGGAGATTCTACTTCTTGCTTCTCAGGGCTATTACAGGTTATAACCATATCTAAATGCTAGGGATTACTGAATGCTTACTCTGTGCTGAGTACTTTACAAAGATTATTTCATTCCATCTACACAACCTGTGAAATGCCATTATCCCCCTCTTCACAGATGAGGAATAATGCTCAGAAGGTGGACACTACTTGCCCAAGGTCACATAGCTAATAGTCAGTTAAAATTTGAAAATTGGCTTGTTTGAACCGGCATTCTATACTACACTACACTATCCTAATGCTAAAAAATAAATGGAAAAATGCATCCAGCCATTGAACACACAGTAGGTCCTCCCAAAGTTGCTTTTTCCCCACCTCTACCTGTACCTCATTGTAGATACAATAACTCTTTACCTACCAGGGCCTCCAGGCTGATGATGAGACTGAAGTTTTCTTGGGGAAATTCACCTTCGACGTAGAGAAATCTGAGATTCAGACTTTCCACCTACAGGTTTGTCTGAGGTGGGGGTGGGGGGGTAAGGGTATTAAGGGAGTGGGGAGTGAGGGAAGACTGGGGAGAAAGGCAGCCCTTGGGAGAACAGATATTGGTGATCCATTTGTATCCCCAGAATGACCCTCCAGCTGCCTTTCCCAAGGTGAAGATCCAGATTCTAAGCAACTGGGGCCACCCCCGTTTCACGTGCTTGTATCGAGTCCGAGCCCATGGCATGCGAATCTCAGAGGGGGCAGGGGATGGTGCCACAGGGGGGCCCCATTAAATATGCTGATTATTGGAGCTAAAATAAGCTGGATCAGTGCTGGGGGGTCTGTTGGGGACTTTGGTTGCCCATGGTGCAGAAGTATGGTCCAGGGGTAGAGGGTTACCACCCAGTGCACCCTCTGAGAGAAAGTTGAGATCAGTAATATATAGTTGCCATAGCTCATGTTTATGAAGTGCTTACCATGTACAAAAGATACGGTGCTTTGAACATACACATTACTTACTTAACCCTCACAGCCATAAAGGAGGAGATGGTCAGGTTAGAAAACTTGTTCTTGCTAGTGAAAAGCAGCATTACAGTGGGCCCCAGGCCTACCTTCCCCTAGAGGCTACTGTATTTAACTGCAGAGCCACTAAATTTGGAGTCAGGCTTGTGCACCTCAATTTCCACCCTTAATCTCTGGAACAACCTAACTCCTGCTAGGTACAGGTAGAGGGAGAATTACCCCTTTTCTCTTGATAAACGCTCAGAAACTAAAGAGGACTTGCAGATTCCTCGGAAGCATCTGAGCCAGAGTTGATGATACAGGCCAGGGGTAGCCCCTACTCAGATTGTCTTACTGAGATCTGAGTACCTGACACTCTGCAAGGCACAGTGTAGGTGATCTCATCTTCATCAGTCCCTGCCCTAAAGGAGTTTGACAGGGAAGGGAGGACAGGATGCTGTAGGAAACAGGGCAAAGGATTAATAATTCTCTGTGGGCAGGGTAGAAAAGGGAAACCAGCATGAGAAACATGCACCTATTAGGTTCCTTCCCAATATGTTCATATTTGGAGAAGTATACACACTATTAATAGAGATTACATCTGTAGAAAGTAGAATGTGTGTGGGTTGTACATATCCATTTAAATTTTAAGGTTATTATTTTGTAAAATGAAGACAAGATTTTGTCAAGTGCTCTCAAAGCCTAAGGTTAGAAATATAAACTAATACAGCTCTTCTGAAGGGCAGTTTCACAAGAGGAATCAAAAGTCTTAAAAATTTTTTGTAGTCTTTAATCACAGCACTTCTAAGACCAGATCCAAAGAATACAGGGATGTCTTCAAAGATAATACTTTTGAGTGTTGCTTATAAGGAGAAAACTGGAAATAGTAACTAAGCAGATTGTGCCACAAAAATAATACGTGGCCAAACAGAAACAGCATACAAGGGAATGTTTAATGTCATGAAAAGTAATGATATATGGGATACACTGGTATTATAAATCTATGGCATATAACTCTATGACATATCAAAAGAGTTCTATAGACCAAAAGATATGATAAATGACAAGACAGTAGCCTGGGAGGAAATATTAACATGTATAAGAGACAAGGAGTTAATAACTGTGACAGAATGAAGGATGTACTGACAACAACTTAGTTTATTCAAAACAAATATAATTCACAAATAAATATGAAATGATATCTGGCCTTCACAATTAAATTAAAACTAAAAATATGATTTTACCCAAAAAGGGTGAAAAGGCTGTTTTTGTGAATAGAGGGCAATTTACATTATCTATTCAAATTTTAAATATGCACATACTTTAACATTTCCACTTCTAGGAACAAATTCTTCAGAAGAAACATCCCTGTAAGTGCACAGATAAATGTATAAGAATATTCATTCTAACACTGTTTTCAATAAAACAAAACTAGAAGGTACCCAAATCCCAATAAGGTATTGGATAAATAAGCTGTAGTACACTCAGAATATATAGGCATTGCAAAAGAGTGAGGTCAGCAATAAGTTCCAATGGGCAAGACACCCTGAATATAACAAAAACAAAGGGCAAAGTTTATGTGTAATATCCCATTAAAATTTGTCAGACTTAGTAAAAATGGGCTCTCATCTGCTCTATTACCTATTTATTCATTATGTACTACACACAATATTTATATTTGAAATAATTTCATATAGCACGTATTTTAAAAACATCTTAAAGCATGCTAAAATACTATACATATAATATAATCCCACTTTTGTAAAATAAAAGACTATGAATATGAATAAAGGAGCAAAACATATGCACCAAATATTTGGGTGATATTTTTCTGCATATACATATTTTCCAGTAAGAGAAAAATAGCTGTTCTTGTAGCCTATTTTTAGGGCTAGAACCACCAATGTTTCCTGCTCGATCTGTCCAGCATAGCCCTTTCTTTTTTTTTTTTTTTTTTTTTTTTTTTTAGAGGCATGTTTATTTCTTTATTTATTTGTTTTGTTTGTTTGTTCTGTTTACACATGCACTGGGTACAGTCAGAAGCGCGGGAGGGTGAGAGGATTCACCAGAGCCAGAGCGGGGAGCAGAGCAGGCAGAAGGACCGAGGTACACTGCTGAGGGGAGCAGCGGGCGGCAGGAGAGGTCTGCGCACCATGTGGGACCCTCCTCCGGTGGCCGGGGAGCAGCCGGGGATCGAACCGGCGCCGCAGAGGCCGCGGGCAGCTTCGTAACCCAGCGCTCAACCACTGCGCCACCGGGGAGGCCCCCATAGCCCTTTCTTTATCTTAAAACTCATCCCTTCCCTACCACTTTTCACCTTGTTGGTATTCCCAGCTAAGCGCTGCCCTGAGGTAGGGCAGGCTGGGTGTGCTGTTTAACATTCAGACTCTGTATTTTTCAAAAATAGTGTCTAAATATCTGGCTAGAAATGCCCAATTACTTTGATTGGGGCTATTATGTTAGAGGCATCCATGCTTTACTCAACAACCCCTAAGATCAACAAACTGAGGCTCAAGGAGAAGTAAACATGGCTAATAACAGATTCCCATCCAAAAAAACAAAATACTGGCCAAACTGTGGTCTTCATTGATTTTTTATTGAATGAGGGGCTCCAGAAGCAAGCAGGTGGGATCAAAAGCAGCAATAGCAGGAACAAGTATAAAAGTATAAAATTTAAAGTGCTAGCACTGTGGAATGTGTGCAGGACTGGGCCATGGCACAGAATACCCTTGAGAACACAGGGCTAAAGTCTGATCACACCTTATCCCCCATCAGAATCTAGGCCTGGGGCACCTGTGCGGGGTCCTTGGCTGGAGGTGGAAGTGGCTTAAATGGGGCCCACCCTTGGGCCTTGAAGTAGGAGACCAGTTGCATGGGTACTTCTGCAAGCACAGTCTGTGCTAATGCCTCTCGAGGGGCCTGGCAGGAGAAAACAGGGGCCAGGTCAGTGGTGATCCACTGCAGCTTCCCAAGGTCTACATTTCATGACCAGATGTAAATGAATCCCAGCCTCACTCACATCAGGAGGAGGTGGAAGGGTAAACTCCAGGTCTGGTCTCCCCCAGGTTTGCCCCTTACTCACATTTTGAAAGCGGCGATAAGGCACAAATTGCACTATGTCACGCGCTGCTGCTTCCCCGGTGCGTGTACGCAAGGGTCCACCATCAGCATCCAGCTGTTCCATGGCCTCAAAGTCAGCACCACCCACACCAATGATGATCACTGACATGGGCAGGTGGGAAGCACGAACCACAGCTTCGCGTGTGGCTTCAACATCTGTCACAGCACCATCAGTCAACAGCAACAGCACGAAGTATTGCTGGGAACAATCCCATACATATATTGAGGTTGACCCTCTAAACACTTCACATTTCCATACTGACAAGAAATCCCTTGTTACACAGCCCTCAAAGAAGCCCTTAACTGAGACCACCCCACCATCACCTTCCATGACCCTCACCGAGGCACTCTTCTGATGTGCAGCCTGTGCTGCAAACCTGGCCACATGGTTGATGATGGGTGCAAAATTAGTGGGGCCATAGAGGCGAACTTGAGGCAGGGCTTGGCGGTAGGCATCTACAATGCCCTGGATGCCTAGGAAAGGAGAGCAAAAAACACTATAAAATACTGTGAGTCAGGATCAGTCCTGAAATCACCCCATAATGGCTGAGGAGATTTGGGAACCTGCATGTATTTCAGGAAATCACCCCGGCAACCCCAGGTATTCACCCACATCCTATAGATGAGAAAACTATGGCCAAAAGAAAGAAGGGACACTTGGCCCTAAATCATGGCTTGAATTAAAACCCAGGTTAGGGGAATTCCCTGATCAATCCAGGCCATTTTAAACACAAAATTATAACCCACTTAATAATTATAATTCATTTAATAAAATAATCCACAGAGATATTTAATAATGGGAGAGAAGGGAGTGATCATCATCAATTGTAGAAAGAGGAATTATTTATTTGAAATCATCTCAGAAATGATTTAGGGAAGGATTATCAAAACTAGAGGCAGGCCTCCCCTAGTGGCGCAGGCAGTTGAGAGCTGCACTGTGAAGCTGTCCGCAGCCTTTGCAGTGCCAGTTCCATCCGGGCTGGCAAGGGAGGGTCCCACATGGCGGGGCAGACCCCTCCTGTCGCATCCGCTGCTCCCCTCAGCAGTGTGTTTTGTCAGTCTGCCTGTTCTGTTCCCTGCTCTGTCTCTGGTGAATCCTCTCGCCCTCCCCTGCATCTGGCCTGTACCCTGGTTCTTGTATAAATAAGTAATTAAATCTTAAAAAAAAAAAAAAGAAAACTAGAGGATAAAAGTTGATGAGTAATTGGATATTTATGTATCTTCCTAAAAGATACTTAATAACTGCAAAGAGAAAAACATTACTTGTATGATAGAAAAACCATTATAGACTCTACAACATATATCTATTTAATCAAGTGATCCAAGTTAACATAACTGATATAGGATAAATCAACATCATGTATCTTTCCTGATACGGTTCTGACATATGTTCATATCAGAACACAAAGCATCAAGTTTGTGATATTCCCACCAAAAAATGCATAATCTAAATCTAATTATGAGAAAATACAGGTAACTACCAAATGATAAGACATTATGCAAATATCTGGCCGTTAATCTTAAAAAAGGTCAGTATCATGAAAAAGCTCTGGAAGACGTGACAACTGAATGAAATGTGTGATCCAAGATTTCCTGTTGCTGTAAATGACATTAAGGACAATTGGCAAAATTTGAATAAATTCTGCAGATTAGATAATAGTATTGTACTGATGTTAATTTTCTGCTTTTGAGACTTGTACTGTGGTTATCTACAAGAATGTCTTTGATTTTAGGAAATACACATTGAAATATTTAGAGATAAAGGGCCATAAGGATAATGACAGGTACAAAGCTGTAGGGTCATGGAGGCTAACTTGGGGCAGCATGTATTTACTACAATTCTCAAATATTTCAGGAAAAAAACTATATTGGAGGGAGAGAAGGAACTTGAGTGAGAGAGTGACAAAGCAAATGTGATAAAATGTTCATCTCTGAGAAATGTGGGTGAAGGTAAAAAACAGCCAGCCTATATAATCCAGACCTTAAGCACTGAGCTCCAAATGTCCTGAATCCCTATAACTATTCTTGCAACTTTTTCCTAAGTCTAAACTCATGTCAAAATACAAAACCCAGGGGTCCTCCCCTGGTGGCACAGGTGGTTGAGCGCAGCGCTGTGAAGCTGTCCGCAGCCTGTGCAGAGCTTGTGAAGTTGTCTGCAGCCTCTGCAGTGCCAGTTCAATCCCGGCCAGCCAGCCAGGGTCCCACATGGCAAGGCAGACCTCTCCTGTCTCGCCCATTGCTCCCCTCAGCAGTGTATTTTGTCAGTCTGCCTGTTCTGTTCCCCACTGTGTCTGGTGAATCCTCTCACCCTCCCGCACATCTGGCTTATACCCCAGGGTTCTTGTATAAATAAATAAATAAATCTTTAAAATATATATATATATATATAAAACCTAGGGGCCTCCCTTGTGGCGCAAAGGGTTAAGACGCAGCACTGTGAAGCTATCCACAGCCACTGAAGCATGAGTTCTATCCCCTGCCAGGGAGTTGACCCACATGGCACAGCAGACCTCTCCTGACTCTCCTGCTGCTCCCCGCAGCACTGTATTTCAGTCAGTCCACCAGTTCTGTTCCCCACTCTGCCTCTGGTGAATCCTCTCACCCCCCCACCTCACACTTCTGGTCTGTACCCCGATTCTTGTATGCATAAATAAAAATAAATCTTTTAGAAAAATTAAAAAAGAATTAAACTCAGGTCAAACCTATCAGGTAAAATTTTCCACTTTCGCAAGTCGCCTGAGCAGGGTGCAAGGCAGCCCAAGTTTTGGCTCTTCCTAGACAAAAGAGGGGAGGTCAAAAAGCACCCTGCAGGGCAAAAAGACACCAAGACTTCTGCAGATTTCCAAATAAGTACATGTGAGCTTCTTGGAAAAGATTATAATGGCGATATAATAGCTACCATTTTTTAAGAGAGCATTTAGTATGTGCCAGGCTCACTGTTTCAAACTTTATATACACTATCTCCTTAAAAACTCAGTATACTGTAATATTTAGCCTTATTTATTTTTTAAAGATTTACTTAATTTATTTATGCATTCAGGAACTGGGGTGGAGGCCAGAGGTGTGGAGGGTAAGAGGATTTACCAGAGACAGAGTGGGGAGCCGAACAAAGAGATCTACTGAAATACACCGCTAAGGACAGCAGCGGGCAAGACAGGAGAGGCCTGCTGCATCATGTGGGTAGCTCCCTGGCTGGGGATCGAACTCGTCACAGTGGCTGGTGATAGCTTGATAGCGCTGAGATTTTAACCCGTGAGATACCAGGGAGGCCCAATATTTAGCCTTATTATGAAGGTTAAGCAGATAAGAAGTTAAGCAAATGGCCCCAAGTCACATGATTAGCAAAGGATATGAAATTTGACTCCAGAATACTAAAATCAACTCCTCTGGACAATGGAGTCAGTTATCCTTCCCCATCCCCACATTCTCCCTTGCCTACATACATTGGCATCCTCAGTTGGAAAATGGGAGACTTACCTGCACAGTAGGGGCTACTGGGGTTGAAATTCAAGGCAAATTCATGGGAGACCTGAGAGCAAGAATGGAAATGAAAATGACCATATTTGTGCTAAGAATAAGGGCAATTATACCAAGTACCATATCAGTCCTGTATGTCCCCTACAGAGCTGGGTACAGCCAATTCACCCCACCCTCCCAAATCAGGACACTGGTAATAGGTGTGGAAGAAGGGAAGAAAACACTCACTTGCCAGTCAGGGGGCAC